ATGATAACATGTGCATATCTGGAATTGGCCCTGAAATGGGTAAAAAAACCAGTGTCAAAGTAAGGAGTAGAACAAGAAAAGGCCAATCTAGGATAAGAACAAAACCAAAGGTCAAGGGGTCATCCCGTATATAAAGGGTATATCCGAAACCATCAAGAGGATATACCGCGGTCATGGCTTAGTAACAGCCGTGAAGCCCCAGAAGACGCTTCGCAATATCCTAGTACACCCTAGGGATAAAACACATAAATAAAACGTCGCAGAATGCGTATACAAAATCGGATGCACAAAAACTGAAACGCGTCGTATATTGGAGAGACTGGAAGGCGATTTGAGGTCCGCCTTGGTTAACACCGGAAAGACACAGAAACCCAATAAGGAAGGAAATTCACCAGATATGAAAGAAAACAGTCGGAGTCCCAGACAAATAAATCGGCAATCAGGGACCATGCCACACAGAAAAAAACCATGTGATTGACAGGGATAACTCCAAAGTTTTTGACAGAGATAGCAATCTGTTCAAGCGGCGGATAAAGGACGACATCTGGATACGCCGTAATGGGCCATTTCTAAATTGAGACGAGGGGGCTCAAAGACTCTCTCGTACATCTATGACCAAGTGTTAACAACGCGTAGCTGAATTGAGTCATTTCGGTACATGTATAACAACAATTGTACATACGTTTCCAGCGTAGCCGAAATCGACATCCATTTTATGGACAACTCGTACACATTTTACACCTTTTTGTGCATACGTTTCATTGGTCATTTGTCTGGTCAAGGTGACAGTGTATATATCGTACTAGTCATCGAAACGTCACATAGAAAATGTTATTGGTTGTGTAAAACGAACCTCTCATAAAACATGATTTATGGTTTAAACAGTTTTTGTTAACACTGGTAACAGATGTGACGTCCCGAAATCGGCTCAGGCAATTAGTTTCGCGGACGTGTCATACAAAGCTATAGGAAGTAAACAGTCGTGCCTGGCCCATCCTTAATAGGTATAATAATACACGTATACATGCATTCAAATTGACTGTAGGTGTGTTTTGCCATCACGAGCCAGTGGACATCTCAATCTGCAATAATGTGTCGATATTTTACGATGATAACACCAATAAATTTAGGGATAAAAAAATAGGTTTCTAGGGAAAAATTGATTTCGGATCATTTGGTGACAGTTCCATCCCACGACGTGCTGAAAAGACCGGCTGAATATCAATAAACACATAATAATCTTCATTGCACTGCAGTCTGACAGGAAGACCATATCTATATTTACTTATAGGCATGTTAAGCTGCGTTACAGACGAAATATAGAAAATAGATTCACGATACTTTGGCCTCTTCTGTCCAAAGTTAGAAAGCATTTTATTGTCTCGCTGTCACGAAGTCGATGCATCTTAGGTAGTACATCTTAACCCATGCATCAAATGCCTACCTGTCATGGTCCATTTATTTTGTCAGCATATCCATCAACATTATATTTTTGCGTTTGTGTTAGTTTCTCTGAAAGTATAAGTACTAGACCAACCAAACTTGGCATGTGCATTGATGTTCAAAACAAGACACATGCTATATGTTTCTAAATTTGTATATTAGCTACATTTCAATAATTGTCCATAACTACATAGATAAGAGGAGGATATGTCAGTACTATTGTCTTGATTGTTATTATTATTACATTCGTAAAGGTCCATCAACACAGAAGAGATAATTAGAGGCAGTACAAGGTCGACAAACAGGTTAAAGGTAAAGACATCAAACGAACAGTGCAGAACAGATAAGGAATCAGAATAAATTTTGGAACAGGTCAACAGTTTATTCGTTTTATGTGTTCAAGGTTGAGGTATATACATATGTAGTACGGGATTCTGTAGAGAATATAGATGCGTTCTTTTGAAGCCGGCATTCCGTAGCCGCATCTTTCAAACTATCACTGAAAATGTTTGAAAGTCCTTGTTTTTAACTGCAGGAATTAAAGAGATTAATCATTAGATAGGTAAGATCAATTATCAAAATTTACTGTACCATTGATTGCAATATTAACCATGGAGGAACATCAGTTGTTGCAAATTAATGGATTATGTCAACATATATTTCAGCATATGTTTCTAGCTGAACGAAATCCGAATCCCAAATGTTGAATATACTTTGTTTTTGTTTTTTTGAAATATAGTTTTATAATTAGGATAAATACAAGTGAATATATTGTATTTGAAAGGTTTGATTTCAATCGAGTTGCATAAATATATAGTTTCTCTCGATAATGATGGTTCGTTTGCTTCCACATACAAATTCCCTACTAAAACTAGGTTTCCCCATGGATGAACTATGAACAAATGGGAATATATTTCGGTTAGGTTTATCTACAGGAATATTCATATGCCGTCTTCTTTCCTTACCTCTATTAACAGCTGATGTCTTTCAATATTGTGCCTTCATGTTTGTAATGTATATGTGCATTTTCTAGGGAATGTAAATGTAGTTTCCTTCTTATGATAGAGCGGATCTGATGCCGCCTTTTTAGTTCTACCACACTGGAATACCGTGTCAAATGCAGCAAGCACAGTATTCCGCCCAGTCATATAATACTGATAACGGGTACACCTGTTGTTGCCTTTACCCTAAATGCTTAACGTTCAGAAGCGAATATCAAGTAAAATTTTAGGACTTTGTTATTGTGCCGAGCCGGGGACATAACACAGTATTGTGCCGAGCCGGGGACATAACACAATGCCTTCCTCACTTGGGCAAGCAATTAACACTTTGGCCAAAATTATGTATTACACCAGGCAAAAGTCACTGAAAAACAACAAGTCGTTAGCAGCAGATTTATTTTGGTTTGGTTAATTATGTGGATTATTTTCCTTTATTTTCTCAGTTATCAGTTTTTTTCATTTCCTACAGAAAACATCCTTAAATGAGCTTTAGCTGTTGACAAAATGTTTTAAATAACACCAGACCAATGCTACAGAACAAAAATTGCCTGTTGCATTCCATTGGATACACGTATACGGCGATTCAAATGGGACACCCCTAGAATCAGTGTTTTTTTTAAAAAAAAAAATACTTTTTATTTTGTTAAGATGCAACCACTTTTGATCTATTTTCTCCTATTGCAAAAAAAGGATATCTTTCTTTTTTTCTGTCCATGTTATCACACTTTAATGTGGCTTCATCATCCATATACACACTAATCTATTTTTTATGGTTTTGATATTGATTCGACTTGCGATTGTTTTGTTTCGACACTCTAGTCATTTGTCCCGTTTCCCATTCATTTTGAATAGTAAGAACAGAACAAAACAAAAAGAAAGGAAAAAAACATTTGACGTGTTATAGGCGATATACTACTTTCAAGAAAAAGCTCAAATTTTAGTGTACATTTTACGTCTTTGTTTTCATTTCGAAGTGTTTCTTTTTCTTAAATACATTAGCACATGTTACCGGCGACGTCAATCGACAAAATAATACTATATAATAACACAAATATTTGTATTTTAAGATGGTGTTTACTTAAACTGTTCTATACACAGAATCGACACTTCTTATACAGCTCAATACCTTAATAGGTTTAACATAAACTCTTTGTACTACAGAATTACCATCTAGCACTACTTGACCTTAGTAAACCCAGCTACATCATTCGTTTTCCATACAACGTCATAGACCTAAGGGCGACAAAAAACCCATTAAAACAGCGTATAGCACACAAATTGAGAAAATACCTTTACCTGATGCCACGTCCTTAACATATGATTGGAAATATTTGTAACCCGACAACCATGCACACTTCTTTTTATATCTTGTATGTCATTTACGTCAATCATCCCCCATATAACTTGATATTCATGTAGTTTATAGTGTACCATTTCAATTACCGGTAATTAACAATGTCTCATAAAAGTTACTCGTACACAATTTTTATCGAAACAATTATATCATGGGTTCCTTAGTATGGACTGTTGGAAACATATATATCTTCAGGGGAAAAAAAGGTTAACAAGAATTTTAACGGGGGTCTCTTTATCATGATTTGTAAAAATGTGTTTAATTTAGTAAGATAATGTTTATTACGATGTATGGTTTTTGGAATATTGAATGTTTAAATAATTCGTTACGGTTCAGCGATACTTCGGGACGTTGAGGTCAGGTGGGGTTCATGTTTCAAAGTATTTGCGCTTAATTGCGGGTATGGCCGCCATCGTTTACATCTGTATATCACTGCATTGAAACGACGCCGCATTGAAAACGTATGAAGCTACGTCAACAGACAAATCAGCCTGTGACGTTAGCTAAGCTTAGTTTGTATCTGGAACGCCGTAAATGCATTTTTCAACAGTCTTACTGGATTTGTGTGGCACCGGTGCAATGCGTGCACATCACTGCATATTGACTTCATAAAATGGCTCCGGCTTCACTTCGTGTTAGTTATACCCCTGCGATTTCATGGGTGTTCTTCTGACAGTTTTCAATGATGATCTTGGTTAATTGTGTCTTTAAATTCTGGAATAAGTAAATGTCATATAATATGTAACTTTTTACCTGTGCACAATCCCCCCNGATAGTGTACACTAAATTCATACATTCACACAAATCAGGATATAAGTATATCAAGTATATCGAGTTATAATAATCAATCTTTTTGGCCAAAAATGATCGCGCGAGTAAAGAGGGTCTTGTGGGAAGAAACCGGAATATCCGGAGAAAATCAACTAGGTCGGGAAAGTAAACCCATACGATTTGTACGTCCCGCAAGGGGAATCGATTTAATTTACGATGCAGGAATTGCACAGTAGTCATGTAGTCATCATCTTATAATTCTTAAACATAACAGGCATGTATCTACCATTTAAAAATAATCCTTTTGATGTCGTAGAAAGGATTGGGAGTGATACAGATAGTATTTGTGGATCAGCGGAGGACAGATGCTATGCAGAAACAATTACCCTCCCTTCAGAAATAGACATTATAAACATTCACCAATGACAACAATGGCAAAACAAGAGATTATTGTAGAAAAAATTTACTTTGGTCCACCTGTGGCAGCGTTCACGATATCTGGCATCGCACCGAGTAAAGCACGGCGGCCGACGACGCTTCATTATGTCGATTTTGTATTTATCTACGTGACAAGTCATAACATTTGCCATATAAATAAATCCGAATTAACTCGCAGTTTACATTTGTCATGAACAGTCTTATATATATATTCGTATGGTGTTAGTCATGTCGCGTAAAAATGACACATTATTCAACCGAAAAGCAATTATCAGATAAAATAAAATTGTTCCGGAATCTCTTTGCTATTTGTGCATACGGCTGTTTCCTTCATAACAAGTAAGATAAATTCATTTTAGGATAATGCTGATATATTTGTCATAATGATAAGTATATGTTGTAAACAGCGATAGAAAGTACAAAGAGTTCGCTTTTTTTTAGATTTGTTTTTAGTTTTATCATCCAAAATACCATACCGCTGCAGTCTGCTGAAGCAGTATTTGCGATCATTGTATATCTTTCAACTTCTAACTGATTTTTGTTTCCTAACACCTTGGTTTTGACTGTGAATACTCGTTCACATGAGAAAGGCAATTGTCTCTGTCACCATTGCAGGGAATCCCCTGCAGGTAGGGCGTAAAAATTGTACCCGCTGCCCCCAATCGCATGATCGTAAGAGGCGACTAAATTTGGGACCTTATCTCTTCTCTCCTCTCTAAATAATTTTCTTCCTCCTAATGTCTCGCTTGACAATGCCTCACTTACGGCCATTTGTTGAGCGTTCGCCCCTGTGAGGAAGGCTTTGGGTTCTGTCCCCTGGCCGAGACATACCAACGTCTTAAGAAATGGTAGTTTCTACCTTAACGCTCAGCAAATTATGAGTGGGACGACTGGTTCGCCCGTTGTCAGTATAATGTGACCGGGTGGGGCGTCCTGTTGGGTGTCTCCAAGGAGACAAACACGAACATATCGCAGCCTCTCAAAATACACACACATGCACTACACGCATGCATCTTGCACACAGGGGAGGCCGTCCTTAAATGACATACCGCCTCCAGCACACATACAAATTGAAGCGCATCCTTGTATGACCTTAGCTGTTAAAGGGACGTTAAATATTATGCATGTACAACCGCAAAATCAAACCGAAATTTCATTACTCGGAAATATAATTATTGACATTGACCGGTCATTGTACGAAAAACTGAATATATGAATTACTTTCAACTTTCCAATTATTTCATGAATTTTCATACACATTTTTAACAGGTAATGTAAAATGTTAAGCATACCTTCGAACAAAAGTATAAGAAACGTGTTAAAAATTGAGAAAGTGAAGAATTTCAGAATGAGATACGTATCAAATTGGTTAAACAAACGTTATGACTTTTCGTAACTAATCACCTAAAAAGTATTCTTCATCAACATGGCCGTTTCATTACAATTTGATAATACACTCTTTTAATTCACCGCTTCTTTATAATTGAGCAGAGCATTCTACATAATTAATCGTTTATTTAAACCCTGTGCAGGTTAAAGAATAGGTCTGCTGTATTTCGCTGCATGTCGTTATGGGTTACTTATGTTGAGCACATAAAGATTTTGGGGATTTAAAGACTTTAAAAATGGCAGTTTCTACTCCTGCTTAACGCTCTGCAAATAAGGAGTGGGACGACTGGTTCGCCCGTTGTCAGTATAATGTGACCGGGTGGGGCGTCCTGCTGGGTGTCTTCGGCAGTATGTTTCAGTGAGGTAGCACTATAAAGTCGGCATCAGTTCCGCGCTATTACAAGAAGACAAACACGAACATATCGCAGCCTCCCAAAATACACACACATACACTACACGCATGCATCTTGCACACAGGGGAGGCCGTCCTTAAATGACCTTAGCTGTTAATAGGACGTTAAACAAAATCAAACAAACAAACAAAATTTTGGGGATTTTCTACTAGCTACCCCCATTGCAAAACTTGGGATCTAATACTTTTCCTTTCTCGCTTCCCGACACAATTGTTGCCTATGGTAAATCCCTAGGAACCTAACATTATCTGACCTTGGCCGTTGTATGGAAGATCAACCCTTACAAACCAAATCAAAACCAAAATTTAATACCTTAATTATGCTAATCATTGTAATTTAAACTTAAACCATTATCGTTAGAGCTTTAAATTACAATAGTAAGATTGGTTTATAGTTACAAAAGATTCCAAGTCATCGAACCCAAGGCAATCGAAAATTAAAATATTTAATTTTGCAAAAATACTATGATAAATGAATGTTCAATGTTGTTGGCCAATCTTAAATCAATATACTACATCTGTCGAACGGCATGTTTGTCGTCGATTTTGCCTCGTAAGCGAGCTTTGTATGTTCGGTTTTAGCTTGAACCATTGACCGCGATCGCATCTGGTAGGTGCATTAAACAAACAAATCACTTCTGTCTGGTATTTATCCAAACAATCTTCACTTGACGTAAAGTATGACAAAGTTTTTTTTATATACAAATACAGGCAATATGTCGCTTCCCATTGGACCGCACATGTAGTATAAATTGCATTTGGCCGTAAAGGTAAAATCAGTTTCTTCCACAGTAGAACTCGAAAGTGGGGTGAGTGAATATTTTGCTGTTAGTATCGATTCGTTTTATAAAAATACTTTTCATATTCTAATTTTATATTTAATCAATATAAAAACCTGAGGATAACAAATATTCAAGTACTTACTAACCAAATGTCACTAGAGTTTTATTTTTTTCGGTGAAAATAATTGTTATTTTATGACCATTTTAATACCTTTCTCGAGTGTAGATATTGATGCGAAAGTGACACCAGAGTTTAACGTACAATTCATACTTTACAATTATACTGTTACATAAGTATAAATAGAATACAGTTTATAATGAATATATTAGTTAGTTAATAACATCTTCGAATATAAGCTTATTAGTGTGTATGTTTTGATATTCCTTTCCAGGACGAAATTCGGCAATATGGGAAATTTTCAACTCTTAACCATTCTCTGGATGGCTTTTGTATGGCACAGTGCAGCACGTTCGTATATTATTCAGATCTTATGAAAATTAATTTTACGACAGAGTCAATGCCAATCAGGTTGTACATTTGAATATTATTGAATAACTTTTGTTATATTGAATAAAAGTAATCATTTATGTTTTCATAGAGCAAATGCTGTTCTGTAAACATATACACATATAATTTGCTTTTGCACAATTGAACTGCGGCAATTTGTTATTTTTTGCGTTGCATTGAATTATTCAATGTGATTCTGTTTTGTTTTCTCCTGTTGTTTATACCTAACGTTTTAATATATTGCTTTCGTGTGTGAATACTGTATGTTCACTTTAAAAGGAGCCGGATGCTCTACATATTCGTTTTTTCCTAATTAATTTATATTTTTGATGTACATGTATGAATACATTATTTTGAAACATAGATAAACATATATTTAGAAGAAACGTTTTGACATGAATAAATTGTTAAACCGTGTGTTTTACTCTTACTGTCATTGCGTACTTCATGAACAAGTGAAGTACGCAGATTCGTTCTTATTTAAAAATGAAGCATATTATCACCGACATTTTTCCAGTTATCAAAACTTCTATTTCCTGAAATAGACATTTATTATTTCATATATTATTCCGATTCAACCGGTAATAAATCAATTAAAATAATAAGCTTAAATTTCAACAATTCCATGCCACTGTTGGGTATTTTAATTTTTAGGAAATTTAAATTCTTTTTATTTTGAAACACCGGCAATACGTTGTTGAATTGGTTTGCCGATTCTTCCGAAGGTGCCGTGACATTTAAAGTTTACCTTAACCGACCCAATCATTGTTTAGTTGTGATATCTTGATAAACAGCGTCTTAAAATATATTTAAAAAGAATGATGCTACGTGAAAGTTAGACTGGTCACCACCTCTAGAATATTGACTAAATAAGAAAACAATTTTAACTTTAAAAACTTTGATCACTTGGATGTCTGATTCGAGAGTTCTAAACTAGGGGGAGATAAGCTAGGAGTAGAATGCAGCCGAGTAATTCTTCATAAAAAATTAGGGTCTTGTAGCAAGTCTATGTGAAAGTATGAAAATTGAAATATATTTTTGGAAATGGGCATAGCTCTACTGATTTCACTTTCTTGTGGTTTTTCTTCCAGAAAAGACTGTGGTAACAGAGTTCGAAGAATGTGGCGAGAGGGAAATCGATCTAGCATTTATTGTTGACTCGTCTGGAAGTATCGGGTCATCTGACTTCCGGTTAATGCGCAAATTTCTGGTGAACTTCCTTGATGATAATGCAATCAACACTGGCTCTGTTAAGGTAGCGCTTGTATCATTCTCGTCGTACTCAAAAGTCGAATTTTACTTCAATAGTCACGACAATAAGGAAGATATTCAAAAGGCGATAAAACAAATGACCTATATGAGCAGAGCTACAAACATAACAGGATCACTGCGCCTGACGAGATTGGACATTTTCAATGAAGATTACGGAGATAGACCAGATGTTAATGATTTAGTCATAATAGCAACTGATGGGGAATCGAACATAGAAAAAGGCATACAAATGAAGAGGGAATTAAGGAAGTGGAAGGGACCCAACACTAAACAAACACAAATATACGGACTTGGCATTGGCCCAGCTTTTGCGAAACCAGAAAATCAAAAGGAACTGCGAAATATTGTTACAGATGGTTTGAATGACGACACCAATCTTGACTTTGTAGAGTCGTACGAGGCTCTGGATAAGCTAAGGGATGACATATTTAAAAAGATATGTAAAGGTAAGTTATTCAAAATATTTGTTAACACTTCGTCATTTAAATCATGAGAAAAGGAATAATGTTCAGGTACTTCATATATACAATACCAAATTAATATATACATTATGTATTGTTTGATTTTGACGTATGTTGACAGATGCTTTATGATTTATTTGATATAATCATTAATGAAAATGAAGGAAAGAATATGCAAAACATTAACTGTACTTTTTTTTATTATTTTCTTGTTTCACTTGAAATGTACAACAATTTATTTTTATATTAGTTATTTTGTGAACTTTCGAAAACAGGAAAAAATCAGTTGAATTATTTGTCTATCCGTGACGATATTTAAACCATATGCATAATTAAATCAATAGAACATTTATATTCCCACATTTTTATTTCCTTACAGTAATTGAAAAAGTGTCAACAGTTAAAAATGGTAAGTATAACATTTGAACGGTTCTTATTTCATATACATGTACAAGGAATATATTAGTTTAACTCCTTAAATTGATGGACTTAATTGTCGTGCTCTTTCCAAGATAGCTTCCAAGTAACGTGAACGTTCATGTTAATGATATAATACTTAATTTCAGATTATTTATTGATATCATAGATAAAACGAATTGACGAACAGGCAAGGTACATGAACCCCATTTCCTTAGAGATGAAGCACATGCCTGCTGGTCTATTCCGAAAGATATAACTAATCATATATTCACTTTTAGTATTCATATTTATTGTTGTCTTTTTCTTTTGTTTTGATGCCAATTATATTTAAAGACCAGCCTCAGTGCAAAGCGTATTACGAACCATTTAAAATTAAACACTTGAAGATTACATTAACTTTCAGTCACCACGAGAAAATTTTGATAATCAATAACAAATCAAAAACCTCTTATCGAAACAGTCACTATTTCTACACATGTAACCAACCTAAAATAAATTGGTCTGTTCAAAATTACAATTATAAATAATTACAAAAGTACTATTAATCATACTAACGTTTATTTTTCAAGTTCACGTTTGTCTTTAAACGTTAAACATGCTTATTCTACATTTTATCGACCCTAATGACATATCCTGTGATGACGGGCCGTTCAGAATTAAATATAATAATACAAGTTTATAATCACAATTTACTTTCCTTATCGGTTTTTTCTTTGCTGATGGGCAATTACAACATTTATACTAAGTGAACACAGTATACGGTAGCCATGCTATAAGATGTTTCGTTTTATTTAAAGGTGATCCATGCTTTAAAGAGGGACAAGTAGTAAACTCAAGGTGTAAGAGATTTACGTGTCAAGGCGGAGTTTGGTTCAGGGCATGGACAGGTAACGACACTTTTGTTCTTTAGTAATGTGGCAGATTTTACTTGTACATATGAATACAGCCGCCTTCTAGCTGCGCGCTAGAGCAAATTTCCGTTGGTTCAATCGGTAGAGCGGCGGACCTGGACACTTGGGTTCGCTGGTTCGAGCCCCGGTGCATGCACACTACTTTCTTTTGTTTGTTGGGAGTAATATTTTCTTAGGTTTTTGTTAAAGATTAAAATAAATAAACCATTTTTACCGTTGCGATCTTGTCTTAAATAACCTATGGTATTTTTTTATTTAGCAATTTCGTTTTTCGACGAATACAGATCACGACGTACTTTTAGAAAATAACGACGTTTGCTTTTGATGTGGTGTCTTCTTTTTTATCGTCATTGAATTTTAATGTTGTAAACACTTACACATATCCTATTTGACACAGGGTGTTTGTTTAACGGCTGCATGGATTGGGGATCAGAGAAAATGGATGGCTGTAATAGATACAAATGCTTAAGGAAGAGTGAATGCCTGGACGAGGACAGAACAGTTTGTCTTGACTTTGATGTCAAACTCACCAATGTCGGTAGGTTAAGGACACTACAATATCACATGGATGTCATTATACATAACCAAGCACACATTGATAAGTGTTAGTTGAGATTCACTGTAAGTTCATTTCTAGCATTTTTACGCAGTTGCAGATCGTTTGTAATATCCATGCGCTTAGAATAAATATATATGAGACGATATTATGTTAATAAATATTTGAAAAAAACACGTTAAAAGAAATATGTAAAATACTATTCCATTTTTTTAAATGATGTAATTTCGATCGGGCATCAATGCTGAACTGAGTGCACAATGTTAATTCACCTTATAAAAAGAAAATCTAGATTAACTTGTGAAGATGCAAAATCACCCTGATTGTGTTGAACATTTTGTTAGTTTTGACTCAATAAACTATATAAACTATATAAAACTATATATATTGCTAACAAAACCACAACAGGCAGTAAAATTGAGAAAACTGTTCGAATGTATTCATGAGTATAGAATTCTGTCGTTATGTTTCATTTATTGCTACTCTCAATTGCGATTCATTAAAACACAGTTCTATTAAACATCAAGCGTTCATAAAATATCATTTGATTTGCAAATTGCTCGTAGTTGGATTCGAAAAGAAAGCTTAGTAAATACTATTTAAAGTGTAAATTTGCGTTACTTTTTACAGGGTGTTTGGTAAAAGGGACTTGTCGCGATGAAGATGCCTCATGGACATGTAACACGACATGTGATGCTTACACATGTAAGCGAGGAAAGGATAAGGACGGTAAACCTATTGGTGAAGTTGAAACCTCAGATTCGGGTAAGCATGACAGAAAGCTGGAGTATTACTGTTTACTGTGAGAAAGCCGAAGCATACAGTATCCTCTACTATCATTACATATAGGATCTTGAATGAGTTTTCCATTTCATATGAGATTTATGAAACAAGTCTAAGATAAAAAAAACGTGACGACTTTCATTCATTTCATATGAAATGAAAACGAGTGTGAAACGACAATCTTCATAAAAATCTGAAACGTCTTGTACTCGTCATAGTCGTGACGTGTGATTGAAATAATTGAAACTCTCAACCAATCACAATCATGACACCAATATGTCATATTTCATGGGTTAATACGGAACTATGTACACGTGTAGGGTGTATGAGTTCCGGGTTCGATATTGCGTAACTACGCTATGGTATTATCATTACTTGCAGAATAATTGAATTCCATGATGACCTTATGTAGTGACGCTATGGTATTTTCGTTACTTGCAGGATGTTTGGATCCGGATGGCGTGTGCAGGGATATTGGCTATAAATACAGTACTCATTGCATCGGGTTCAAATGTGATCGAGTCGAGGGTCCTGATGGATCTGTTGTGAAGTTTGTTACCTTTGAAGCCGGTATGGTCATTTACTCATCAATTCACTGAGTAAAATAAAGAAATATAACTCGTTTATAAAAAAACACTGACAGCGAATCGATTTTCAAAATTTATGTTCATATTTGACTTTATTCATCAATATTGATTTTGATAATGAAGATTATTTCAAACATTTAAATCATAATATATGTTTGATTTGTATGTTATTTTACTGTTCATAATAGTTTGTAAATATTTCTGTATGTTGACACGGTTCTGAACAAACTTAAACAAAACAAAAGTAATTCAATGCAATATTAAGGTTGTTGTTTGAACTTTCATATTAAACAGGCTGTAAAAACGACGGGAAATGCGTCCCCCTGGGTGAGACGATCAAAGAAGGCTGTAATGAATTAGTGTGTACTTATGACGATTCAACACAGCTGTATGATTTTGTAATCGACACAATACGTAAGTCAGCAAGTTACCTACGTGTAATATAACTTAAATTATTCAAGGATTCATGCCCTATTGTAAGCAAACCAATGGAGATTTTCACTGCAGATTATTATACATACCGTTACATACCTCTTATTTTCTTTTGGGATGTACTGTAGTGGCTGTGTGTCAGTGCATTATTGCTGATCAGGTAGCTCAACTTGTTAAAGTGAAAGTACAGTTATCACAATTAGATGGTTCGGTTACATGGTTCGAATACTAGAATCGTTGCATTTATGAATGCTCAAAACACTGTGGTAAATTCTGTTTATTTCATCTTAATTTCGCAAGGTATGGTTTCCATTTAGAATGATTCATCAAAGCTTAGTTCATAACGAAAACAAATCCCAACGAGTAGCTAGTGAATCCTTACCTACTAAATTATTTATTCCTTTAACATACATAAACGTTTTGTTACAAATCATATTTGTTCAAGACAAACAACCATTTGCATGTGTAACAGTTTGTTATCACATTTTTTTTGTCATATTAAAGTGTTGATATGTAGATGAATATTTTCGTATAGATAGATAAAGAAGCATTTTATCAGGTATATATTTATTCATTTATAAGTATTCCAAAACAATTATTATATGCTTTATAGCAATAATTGTATCATTTTTCTCCAAGTTGTCAAATGATTTACTTTCAGAGTGTGACTTTGAGGGTAAATGCTACGAGATCGATACGCAATGGGAAGATGAAGACTCATGCACCAAATATAGATGTTTCTTCAATGAAAAAAACAAAAAGGCTGTCGTCAGGGAAAGAGTAGCAGGTACCATTGAAATGTTGTTTTGCCTATTTCTTTAAAAAGTATATATACCTTAGTTGTTATTTTAATATAAACTCTTAACACCTGTTAAACAGTCCTGAAAAGTAATGATTCGTTTTTGTTGTGCAAAATATAATATTTTAAGTTATTTGTTTTCAATAAGGTCATGCAGGTTCCAAGATACGTGATATACATGAGATACTCCAACACCAAAATGTTTTTTAATGACAAAACCTGTAAAAATCACTCTGATAGCTATGTTTAGAAAATATTTATGTATATACATTCTAATGATTCATTATCGTCTATCATCAGGCTGTAAGCTCGACACGGAATGTGTGCCTAAAGGAGGGGCTATTGGAAAAGCCAAATGTATTGAATACGAGTGCAATTCCAAAGGAGGTTTTGACTTGATAGCCGCAGGTATGATATAAAATATGGATGAAATGTACAACAAGATTCTAACACTGCTGTTGTGTATTACTGAAATGTTTTTTTTTATTGGAAGAGTTATTTTAAATATTCATTTTGAAAAGAGTGTCGAATGTTAAATGTTAATAAACGACGCGTGCGTAAACAAGTTCTATTTTTATATTTGCTAACTTAATTTTTGTAATTGTTTTTTCGACTTACATCAACAAGCTTTGATAGATATATATATTTAAAACATGTTTTCTTTCGTCAAATCGCAGATAGAGACAAAAATATCTCGTTGTGAAAATATCACTTTAATACTGAAGAGATATTAATTATTTAAGGATGCCCGGTTCAAGGAGAATGTAAGCCCCTTAACTCCACATGGCGAATGGAAGGAGTTTGTGCTCAATTTTATTGCCGCGAAGGAGAATATGAAGACGGTTACATAACAACGATGAAGATTAAAGAAGTCGGTAAGTGATGAATTTAAAAATGTATTGAAATATATGTCTACTACAGTTATGTTGTACATTTTCTATTTCAGACGTTTATCATCAATAAAATAATTGAGATACAATACACAATTTTAATCCAAAGCTGTTACATATCTTAACAGAATTTATTAAAATAATGCTAATTCTATTGATCTATGTTTAAATAAAAGCTTGTTTTTCTTACTCATTTTTGTTTATTTCATTATTTGTTTATAGAATGTCATGATTTCCAAGGAAATTGCATGAAAGAAGGCGAAACAACTGTAGATAATTGTCTGACGTATGAATGTGGACCAGACGGCCAATTGAAGAGGGTCAATTCAGGTAAAGTCCACGTTACATAGACTAATCGGCAAATAAAATTCTTAACGTTGGCGTCACAAATCAAATTATATGAGCAAGAAGGACGTGTGAAGCAGTATAAAATTGATGCATAGCGTGATTTATACAGTACCAATTTTTAGCTTGATCGTTAATGTTACCGTGCCGTAGTCTGTCGCAAAAGCTGTGGCTATAATTGAAGTAATAAAATAACACATGTATTGAAAGATTATTGGTAAGAAATTATGAAAAGGATCTCGAGGGATGCACGTGCACCCACGCGGTAAAGTGTGAGGTTATTAAATGTGTGTAAAAGAAGAATTACGCTTAAAAATACTTCACATTACGTCGGTTTTAAATATTACATGAATCTATGTTTATGTTATGTTTTTCATAGTTGTCGGTAAAATGAATTCAAGAACAATGAGGATTATGTTAAAAGAGAGGGTAGTGATTGTAGTGCAAATACGAAATGTTGGTTATGCATGTATATAGTAATGAAAGTAGATATAAAGATAAGCCCATTTCTTTGAATTATGTACCTGAAAGTTGATTAGATACATTATTATAGTTATTGTATTTGTCACGTACTCTTCTGTTTTACATAGTAAATTTACAGTTTACATACATTGAGTAATACACATTTTCAATTTTTTACTGACGTTTTGCAGAGTGCAAGTACAAAGGATCGTGCTACGCAATAGGGAGAAAATGGGAAGATAAAGACACATGCAAGGAATACAGGTGCAATGCCGATGAGACCGAGGGGGCTGTGTATTTTGGAGTAACCAATGGTATGTATATTGCTGGTTGGCATGGCGTTCATATAAGAAACCGAGCATGTTATCATATCTGGAGTACAACGACTTTGAGCTCATTGACATTTTATTTCTGCTTTATTGCAGTTCATTCAAATGTTATCATAATGAGTCATTAAAATAATTAAACTGAATTGAGGTGGATATGGAACCATTCAGTATTGTGATTGATGGATATCTCATTATATAAGATATTTCACAATGTCAATCTAGGTACCATGTTCTGAACCTGTATTGAATTAAGACCTTAGTTTGTCATAAGTGAAACTACATTAAATTTGAGAAATTAATCACGATTCTGCATTTTTTCAATACTAAATTAATGGAGTTTCACTCGAATTTTGGTGTCGTTCAAGTAAAAACAAACCCAAACAGCACAAAAAAATATAAGCTAAAAGTTAGGTTTCAAAGGGATTTTGTCTAGAAGTACTCGAATGTTGACTAGAATTTCTGATGAAAATGTTCAAAAATATTAAATGACCAATTATTATCCATATATTTATGAAAATAAAATGACTATTTGGGGAAAATTTAGATTAACTTATTACGTTTGGATCTGATTCCTAACGATTTTTTCTCTCTCTCAAACATGTCAAGTGAAATATATAACAAAGATAAACTCTTAAATAATCGGCAGGCTCCTTTATGAATTCTACACAGAGCTCAATGTTATATATTCTCAGGATGCGTAGACTCGAATGGAGTCTGTTACGAACCGGGTGAGTCGCGAAAACTGGAGGGATCCTGCATCACTGAGATTTGCGGTGTTGATCACGTTTTAAGAGCCAACCGTAAGTAACCATCATATTGCGAGCATGAAATGGAGTGATCACGTAGATCAAATTGTACGCTGCTTACATCAGTAATATGGTTTAACGTAATACAGTCCTATTTAACCCTTGAGACACACAAGACCATAATGGACTCAAGATCAATTACAAAAGCGTTAAAGGGTTTATTACAGTATCTGGAAACGCCCCTTCAATCGACATCAGTATTTGATTCACGGTAATTTAATGATCTAACAGTGAAATTGTATATAAGTTTACCTCTTTTTTTTCGATAGTAAGAATGATGTCTCAACCTCAAAGTTGGTATTCGTTTCACTGATACTATTTAACATTGATATATATTAAAATAACGAAGCTTAAGCCATATATACCATTTCGTACAATATATCATATATCTCTATGTAAATTTGGCCCCTTTGGTAGTATTGTATTTTGTATTTGTGTTGTTTCCGAAAGTAAACTGTTGTTTTCACATACTGCTGTCAGTAAATATGCATAAGATACCTACACTTGAGCAAAAAGGAAAACCTTGTTACTTAGCTATTTTGTTGTGCTTTAGTGTGTGAATACAAAACTACGTGCTACGAAATCGATCAAGATTGGACAGATTATGACGACTGCCTGACATTCTTCTGTAAAGAAGACCCTGTTACAGCCACAGCTGTCATGGAAGAAATTCCATACGGTAAGACATAGTTCAACATTTCAACATAGTTTATCTCATCGTATCTTGTTCTTATATCTGGTGCGTCAGCTAGATATTGATATTAAACACAACTTTGACCAGTTAAAGATATTTTACGGTTGTACATTGCGTAAGATGCACAATAAGAAGTTTTCTTTGTATATTTTGTTACATGTGTTAAAACCCCTACTATGTTTTCGAAGCAAATATTTACAATATATGTTGGCTTTCATATAATAAAAAATGTCCATAAAATCAATTTTGATAATTAAATTACCGTTTTTGATAATTTGGTATTATGATAACTTTGGTAAAATGGCATGCCCAATCCAGTCTTACATGATTATAAATGAGTTATTGTCGCATTCGCCGTATCACACTCGTTTTGAAATAGCTTACTTTTTCCTTCTGTTATAGGTTGCCTATTTCAGAAGAAATGTTACGCTCCCGGAGATCGTATCAAGAAGAAGTGTGAGACATTCGAATGTATGTCTGACGGAAGAGGTTTCTATCCTGTAGACGAGGGTAGGTACTGATACATCCAATCATTCAATATATTTAATGGTGACAATTGTACAAATATGAAAATAATACAAAATGTAAATCGGACTACCAAATTTGTTTGAATGTAGTTAAATAAACTTGAGAACAAAAGTTGTGCTTTGATATTACAAAATTACTCAAACGATATAGTTCTTAACATTCCTAGATAAAAAAAATGATAATGTGATAAAACCGGATACAAACGAGTATGTTCATGATTTATAAGGGGGCGGGGCAATGGATGATGATACATGTAGTAAAGATTTAAGTGGTCAGTTTGTTCGGATAATTACGTCTTAACATTCAATAAGGATGTAAATTGGCCATTCAATAATGTTGTCTGTTGATGACGAGGGATATATCAATGTCAATGAACATCTGACAATAAAGTTGCTAAATGTGATCACTACATGTTCAAGGGATTACCAGACGTAACCATTAAAACTGTGATAATTTTGCACTGTTTGTTATGAAACGACAGTTTTAATGTGCTACTTACCTTATATAAACAACGTATGTTGGGTATACTCAGGAGAATTATCAACAGGGGCAGAGACTATTACAAAAATCGTTAAGGAAGTTTTTTTGGTCTCAATTTAATATCGTAAAACATTTTCAAATCAAATGTTAGAATATACATTATGCTGTATAATACGTAACCACAAGAAGACGCGTTTCATCAGTGCCTGTAAGACAACTTTACCTTGATCAGGATTTTGTTGCCATTGCACATATTTGTTATGTGATGCTTCTCCTATGCTGCGCATAACTGATGTCACAACTGATGGCATTTTTTCATGTATCTGCCCTGTTCATTTAATATAGGTGTCACTGATACGGTGTGATATGCATGTCAACGCATGAGCCCTAACTCGACAAAGTTTGTTCTTGCAGGAAATGTTACACACAAATCACATGTTTTCGATTTTACGCCAAAAAGATAAAAGCCTTTGTAAAAATGTCGGCTGTTTTTGAGAACGGTTTGAACAAATTTCAGTGAATATAGTGCTCATAGATGCCATCATCAGCCACCCTTCCCCAAACCCGTCCCCCTCTTAAAGAGATAACAGAATAATATTGAAGCAGACACAATAGACGGTTCACATTGTGTCCCTTTATAATGATTAAGTAAAAAATACCCGTTATTATATTCTACAAAAAATATGATTACTTAATAAGTAAAACGATACAAGAAGAAAATCAGTATGCACCTATCTTCTATATTTATTGGATATTCTTAATCCGTTTCACATGAGAGAACTATTTCACGAACTTGTTATTGTAGAATGTCCATGGGAAGACGGGTGCAAACCAGTTGGATCCAAATGGTTCAGTAAGGACGAATGTGTTAAATATGGCTGTGTTGAAAACGAAGATGGAGTGTCCGTCGAGAAACTAATTCATGGTAAGAGGTTTGAAACGGTTTGAGCTTCCCCATAGTTATTAATATTTATTCATTGATTCACAAATACCTTTCACTAGTTTTTACTTCGATGATCGTCATATTTTTATCAATACTCAAGACACAAGAAAACGGTTTACACAAATTTCAGTGAAAATTATTATTAAGGACATAGAAAAGTATGCCTTTGTAATAAAATAGAGTGTACAATACAATTTCTTACCGTTAATTTGATTTTAGAGTATGTGTACTGTTGTGACGATTTAGGCCAAACATGATTTTTTTTTTGTGACGAGAGGCCGTTACGCATGAACAAACAAATCTAGATTAATGTTCACGGCATTCATGTGAGTTTTCATTTTCACATTAAGGCTTTCAATGGAATAATGAAAAAAATCTGTTGTGCAATATAATTGGTTTCTTATATGATCTGGATTTGATAATCATATACAATATTACAGCAATGCAATTGATTTAATGAAATATATATATATATATATATATATATATGCAAATTATAAAAGACCATTACTTGTAATTAGCCCGACCTGCCTCGTTTTCCTGTTTAACTGATCACCAAGAATATACATAAATCCTTTATGTTTCTCAGTATTTTCATTAACTTGAAAGTGCAATCGACAAAATAATAACAATGTCTTTTCACTTCAAGGATGTGAGGACGCATACAGAGAGAGATGCTGGAGGAGTGGCGCCAAGATCGAAGGCGACAATGGTTGTATCGAGTTTAAATGTGTTAATGGCACAATGGAACCTACATCTATCGGTTAGTAATATTGTAGCTCGATAAAGCGATAGACTTTTTTTTTGTTTGAAAAAAATAAATAAAACTTCAGCATTATCAAAAACAAAGAAAAAGCAAAATATCATAATTCACCATTGAGTGTATCAGCCAGTAATATTTGTTTTATATAAGTATATTTCCACGGTGTATCAAGACCATGTCATAGGCCACAGAGGGTTTTGCTAATAAACAATGAAATGAGTAAATGTAAATAACATTGTATCAATAAGAATCTAAATTCAAAGTAGAGTTCAATAAAAAGACAAAATAGTATATTAAATGGCAGATTTGTCGGTAATTTTCTTCCAAAGTGATTAAGATATTACTATTATGAAAATAGTTATTGCCACAGTCAACGTTCTTTACTGTCGATTCATAAAGGCTGTCCCCATGGTGACACGTGTATGAAAGTTGGTGAGGTGATTGATGACGAGAAGGCCTGCATCCGGTATCAATGTGTAGTCGTTGAACAAGGAGCCGGTTTCATCAAAACACTAAAGAAGGAGAGGGCTGGTAAGTTATATACTCCATAACTAATAGCACATACTCATGTACTTGTTTAAATCAACGGTTATTACTAGGTTTATCAATTAACAAATACAGATAATTGAGATCCACATTTTTAAGATAGTAATTATATCACAAGATAATGTATTAATGTTTTCTAATTACTATTGCTTGGAAACAATAGAGCTATTTAAAATTAGAAAAAAACAAATTACATATCTAAACAGGGAAGGATAAAGACTAAGTCACGTTTTAGTTGATTTATTACATGAAAACATTAACTATCATTTCTTAGAAAACAAACCTTGTCTGTCTAACTTTCAATTCGCAAGTCATGTAAGTCGTTAACGACGACAAGTGTTAGATTGTGTTTTTACCATATATTGCAAAATTAATAAAGAGCAAACAGCTAAACTCTTATTTCAAACTTATATGGTAATGTAGGACGCCGGGCTCGTGACCGAAAGGTTGCGGGTTCGAGTCACGGCACTGTGTTGTATCTTTGAGCAAGATACTTTACTCCACTTTAGTACGTGGTTTGGCAGCGCTAGAACTGATGAATGCTAGCTGTTAGCGCCGAAATGGCAGCTCCGGCTGTATACTTCCCAGGGAGTTGTGAAATGTATTAGCTGGTTGCAAAGCCCCTATAACTACGAATAATAATTTGTGAACCGCTTTGAGACGACCTACGAACTAGGTTGTGATAAAGCGATATATTAGAACCTCGAATTATTATTATTATTATTATGTTTTATTCCATACGATGTCTACATAAGATTTGTGGTTTTATTAAAAGGTTGTGTAGACCACGAAACCTGCTACTGGAGGGGCCAGACGAAAACAGAGGCATGTGTCACATATAAGTGTTTGAGAAAGGGTTTCACAATAGTAGATGCACGTAAGTTCCTTCACCAAGTTTTACAAGAGCTTTAATTAACTTGAAGCGTATTCGCCTAGATTATCTGGTTTCGCCTTAAGAGTAATGTAGGTTTTCATGATGTTTTCCCTGTTGTTTTGATGTCTCCTTGCTTCCCGTTGTCGTTCTTTGTGTCGACTTGACGTTTTGACTGGGTGTTTTTGAAGTGATGCAGTGGTATCTATTTTCCATTTGGCTTTAAAGAAACCTAAAACAACCCTATCATCATATCATTCAATCGTACTAATATATTTACCATGCATATTCCATCCCGAGAAAGAAAAAACCTTATAATTACTTACATTCTAGGAAATTATATCACAGTTTTCATGTTGACGTATTCTAAAGCAATTTACTGTAACGTATTGAATGGAAATATCTTTCAATTGTAAGAGTGATCAAAACAATGGATAAGCCATTTGTTTTTGTATATGAGTTGTCATTGTTATCTTCTCCGATTTTTTCGGTGGCTTTACTGACCTCCGAGAACTTCAAAGTTCTCTTGAATGTCTATTCGGACATAACAAAATATGGGAAATATGAATACCAAAAAAGTTACAGATCTTCTTTTGAACGGACTATAGAAGCGGGTTATAGCATAATATTATTTAACCGAGTCGGTTGTCTTTGATAATCAAGGTATTTACTTTTCTTATTGATTTTAAGGATGTGAATTCAGAGGAAGTTGCAAGTTCTTGAACTCTAAGTGGCAACACGACAAAAAATGTCTGACGTTCTCTTGCATCAGAAAGAATGACGCTGAAATACCAAAAGTTAAAAGAGATCTATGGGGTGAGTTAAATCTCATTATTATTTGTGTCACTGTTGATAAGATATGTCATTCCTTTAGTCGAACCGGTTCTCAATAACATGAACCTTTTTTTCTTATTATATGTGATCTATCAATCATTATGCCGCACTTACCGACGTTACATGTCTTATACACTGTCCTATGCTTGTGCTAGAAATTGTAGATACTGATTGTTTTGTATTGTTCAGGTTGCAGGGACGAGCAAGGAAGATGTCATGAATTTGGAACACTGAAAAAGATTAACAATTGTGTAACTTACGAATGTGAAAGAAGGAGAGGGTATGGTGCTAAGTTCTTCCCTAAGGACGTTGGTATGTATGACAATGACATTTTGTAATGGTTTTAACAAAAGTTTTCCCTACTAAATCAAAGTTTTTCTATCATAGTGAAGTTCTGAAACTCATCAACAGAGTTCATGCCAATTAAGCCCTATGATGTGCATCTAATCTATGTGACATATTGTTGACACCTAAACTTGTAGTATGTGAAGACCCTTTATAACATATACAGTCTGTATTGTATAAGATGTTTATTTCCAGGTTGTCAATTCCGTAAAAAGTGCAAAGCTGTAAATGAGGATTGGATTCACAGAAATAAGTGTGTTAAACAGACATGCGTGTACTCCGAGGGATCCGATCTACCGGAAATTCAGAGTTCACCATACGGTAAATACAATTTCCGCAGATTAATTAAACTGTCAATTATACTGGATATATTTTTGCTGATTGAAGGTCTAGTTGTTATAGCATACAGCGCTTCATTTAGAATATGTTTAATTCTTACGAATTTGCGAACAATAACTTTCGTGCCTCTTTTTATTTTATATCTCCTAGCAGACTTATACATTGTGTGATGCTCCTACTATCTGTCACTTATGTAGTATTATTATGTTCTTGGATAATACTTATAGCAAACTAGTGTTACTTATATAACGAGGCAGGTATATGTTATACTTTATTCTATATTTTTCCACATACCAGGCTGTAGGACTGGAGGAAGGTGCTATCCTTTCGGGGATCGTATCACGGATGAGGAAAATGAATGCGTAAAGTACGAATGCACCAAATACGAAATATTTTCACCTGTTGAAAAAGGTAAGAAACTGTATGAAGCTTTTCAAGCTTTTCAAAATAGACAATCTTTCATGACATGCTCAAAATAATATATTATTATGATGTACACCTTCAGAGAAAATCGGGTTCATTTTGAAAATATTTTATCATTATAAGAATTACTTTGATATCTGAGTGCAACATTTTCATTTAATCATTGGTTATGTCAAAGTTTAGCATCTTCATTTAATCATGTGTTTAGTTCTCTAATTATCAATGCTACTCAATCTTTATACGAAACACGTAATTGCCTATTTGTATACAACAGGATGTATGTACAAAGGTGGATGTAAGAGCGACCGTGCAAGGTGGGTAGATAGGACATTGTGCATCCGCTACAAGTGTAAATCAGAATATATCAGTCCCTCACAGCTCATCATGCACACGTCGGAGCAACAAGGTACAGAACATAAGTTTCATGTCCTCAGTATTAAATTAAATTATAATAGCACACACAAATAGATAAAAAACGACTTTGAAAGCAATCCAGTTAAAGTGTTGTTATTGTTTTCATTTAAAATCAAATATCATGTAGTTGGATATGTTTCCTATCTCGCTTTGAGATTATTCTATAATTATTGCGATACAAAAAGAAAACTGAAAGGTTAATGAAGTTTTTTCGTTGCTATGCTTTTAATGTAAACTTTTTCGGAAACTCGCACTCTTGCTTAAATCCGTGTTTTTTATAACGATGTGTTGATTACTTGGGAAATTAATGGTTGTAAATTGCTTTTGTGCTAACGAAAAAGGTGTATGCTTTTGTGAACATTCCAGGTTGTAAGGATTTTGACGGGAAGTGTATGTGGCCAGGAGATACGACCGTTAAAGATTGCACGACCTACTTATGTGATCCAACAAGGAATACACTCGTAATTGTCAAAGAAGGTACTATCTGATATATAATTATTGTTTTAAATTCCATAAGTCACACGCACAGCTATATTCCAATTTAGATCTTACAAAAAAATGGCCAAGGTAGTAGGGTATATTAATAGATATTGTGTATATGAAATATGTGTACTTTCTTGAAATTGAAGTAGATTATCTACGAACAACGACAATTACTAAAGGATAATATTCAATTATTTAATAAAAAAATGATATTATTTATACTATTAATTAAGGCTTTATAAACTGAATAATGCGAAATCAAAATGAGGTGTATATTAATATTAAATAACGAAAATGTACTTAAAAACAGTAAACATTTGTGGAATAGTATCATCATAATATACTCTGAATTATTTATAATAGTTGATATTATGAATTAACAGAATGTTCGTTAGTTTAATGACATAGTTTAATTACACCTTGTAGATTGTCAAGACGGAGATATATGCAGACCCCTTAACTCTACATGGTTTGACCCGGAGTCCTGCACAGATTTCAGATGTATATATTCACCAGTTATGAAGGATATCATTATTGATGCAAAGACAACAGGTAAGTTATCTTTCAGTAATATAACGGTTTGCAATTCAGACATAGTCATTCAATAGGGTTTAAACAAAAACGTGTGGCGATGTCAATTTTAAATCGGAAAAAAACACACGGAATTGTAAAGAAATAATCATTTAAATGAATGTACCATTGACAAAAAACACGTTTAAAAATAAAGTGTTTTATCACATTTCTACAATTATGAAGGAAGCATTGCTCTTTGCCAGGCAATTACTAAGTATTAAAAGCAAATTGCTAATGTATCTTGAGATAAATCGAAAGCTGTTATTGATGCAGTTAAAAGGTGTTTTTCTTCATTATCCAATCTGCAGCATCTGCTTTCAGTTGCGAGTCACAATTAAGTCATCCCTGATCATTTAAGCTCAGTTTTACACTACTACTGCTTCTTCATACAATATCTTCACATGATCTAAGATGTACGCAATGCGCTGTTAAATTCTGATCAACAAACCTTAAGCACCGGAGTTTTCTTTCTTTCTTTTCGTTTGCTAGGTTGCAAGAATGACGATGGTCGGTGTTTCAAGAAGGGTGAGAAGAAGGAAGAAGAATGCAACAAATTCCTATGTAACCAAAATTCAAAATTTAAGCCCGTTGAAGTAGGTACGTATTAGTAGAAAAGTGAATAATGCAAATGTTTCAAAATGGAAATCTCACATTTCAGTGAAAAATACTGATTTTATAATATGAAAACATCGTATTGCTCTTGAACACTTGTGCAGTCTTTGTTGCATTACAATGAACAAAAACAATATTCAAACTGACGAATCAACGTGATGCGCTCTACATACATTGTTAAAACAAAGGTAAACTTCTGTTTATTTTGATATAAACTGACAAAGCCATATGTATGTAAAGCAATGCAAAATATTAACAGCATTTGGACTTACATGAGATGTAAGGGCGTGTCCCACGGCGGTATTCTGATTACCTTGTCACAGATATATAAGCAATGTCTCTGAATAACTGCATATAAACTGTATTACAGTGAGCCATTTCGTAACAATACACCATTACGGAACAATTCACGATTACGGAAAAAATACACCATTTCGGAACAGTGCTCTTTTCGGAACAATACAACTTTGCGTAACGCTCCTCATTTCGGAACAGTGCACCCTTGTCGGTTGTATGAACATACATTTATGAATACATTTGAAACTTACGATATTTGCAATACACAGGGCAATGCATAACCTTCTGGAACACATGGGTTTTGTTTTACCTGGAAAGGTCGTTAACCTTTCCTCTGGTCATATTTTGTAAAACTTTCTTTGATTTTGAGTTTGAATTTCAATTTTTCCTTCATCTGTTTGATCTGAAGTTTTCATGTTCGTGTACAATTATGTTTTTTGTTTTTGTTTTGAAAGGATGCAAATGGAGAAAGAAATGCTACAAAGTTGGCGAGTCATGGGAGAAAAACTGTGTTGTGTACACATGTGAACTTGTTTCAAAAGGAATCAACTTTGTGGAAACACATGTAAATGCTTCTCATGGTAAGCTTACTATATTGTTGGTGCACAACTAATTCATAAATATTGAATGTTAGTTTTCTTAAAACTTTATGCAGTAAAAACTTATTGTAAATGTCTTTAAAACTTGTATTGAACGGGTTTTACATGCCCTTTATTAGGGTCCCTATTTTTATAGTAATCGCGGTGTCTGTCATTTTGTCCGTCTGTCTGTCCACACTTGCGTATCTCGAGATTATCTCAGAATCCGAAATAATTATCTTTCTTGTAACTGAAAATAGACCGGAGGGGGTATAGTCATTATTGCGGAATCCAAAAGATTTTTTAAATTTTAATTACACAATGTGATACACTGGGATATGTATATTTGAAAAAGGTGTTTGAAAAGATTTTAAGAGTGATGGATAAATCACCACTTGTGCCGTCAAGGTAACAGGTTTTGTGTTTTAACCAGGTACAGTGTTTAGTTATCAAAAGTTCTGAAACATTTGCTGATCTTCTTTCTGTGAAGGCTGTATTTGTGACGGTGGTGGCTGTTTTAAGCCTGGTGATAAGCGTTCGGAAGGCTGTCTACAGTACGTCTGTCGGGAAGGTGGAGAGTTCGAGATATCCAAATTCGGTAAGCGAAAAACACTATCTATATGTGTTGCTTTATTCTGTCTTTTTTTAAAAATAAATTTGATCAATTAACATATGCGTCACAACATAACGTGTACTTACATATGTCTTTTCAATTTTGTAATAAACATGTACACAATATGAGAATATATTCTTAAAGCATAATGCCACCGCTGACATCATAAAAAAGGAAAATTATGTGATAAGTGCATATAGAATATAAAGACGAGGTCAGTTTTATTTGAAAACTTTAATATATGAAGAAATGCGTCAATCAAATCGTCAAAGCGTTAGGAAAAACAGGTTAAGGAGATTACTCGTATAAAAGACATTTGTAAATTACACTTGTTTCATTTAGCTAAGCTTATTGATGTAAGATGTTAAACTAACGTTCAATATTTATATGCATATAAAAATGTACACGTTTTACTTGTAGCATGTACAACTCCAGAAGGGTGTTTGAAACCTGGGGAGTTTTATTTGGACAAGAAAGAATGCGTGGAATACACATGTAGCAGAAAAACTAGATCACTTGAGCCAGTGAACCGAAGTAATTACCTATATTAAGACGTTATTTGTCCAAATGTTGTACCAAATAAACAACAGTAAACCAAGAAACTTTTGCCCTGTCAAACTTTCGCCCTTTGTCGGTAAAAAAAACGTATTCTCAGATCAGTTACTTCGCTCTTCTAACCTGATTTTTATGTAATGGTGTTGATTACGGAAATTTGATGTAATGATAAATTCGCTTGCTTAACGTAGAACGTAAAAGGCGAATGTTACACTACAGCAAATATTTCCTGGGATACACTATTATAAATATACATATAGAATGTGCATTGTATTATATATTGATAAGCTTGATGATAGCCCGAATGTCTGCCGATGTTTGCCTGAACATTAACTTCTAAACCGCTGAACAAGAATGGCATGACAATTCTTATACCACGAAGATAATTATATCCTTGATGTTAAGATATCTGAAGGGATAGCATATCAGATTATTTGTCCAGGTCTTAGATTACGAAATGCTGAACAGAATAAATGAATCATCATTCATGATAAGGTGGTGTGTCGCGGATGACACATGTCTGTTCTCTATTTGTATAAATTAAACGATACCATACTTAAAGCTGCTTCAAATCTCTTCACCACAAGTATTTGCAATTTATTGAATGTATATTTATGTACTAGGAACCGGCGTATTTTACGCAAAAAGTCCAGTCTTTCAGGTCTTATTATTCAAATTTTAACAGGTTGCAAGTGGAAAGGAGAATGTAAAGAGCGAGATGCCAAATGGTTTGATCAAGAAAAGTGTCAGGGATATAGATGTGCCTACAGCCCAGAAGACAACGACGTCAAAGTTGTAGAGAGAACTGCAGGTATTAATACTAAGTACTGCTATGAATACTTGTTACAGGTATGGATTTTTATTACAGGTATGAGGAAGTGTTACAGGTATGACTAATCATAGCTGTTTATATTAATTGTTATATTTATGATAGTTGTAACGGGTATGAATTATTATAGCAGCTATGACTAATTATTCCTGCGCTACTTCGGTACATCCATGAACTGAACCTTGTCGCTTATCGCCAGTAGGAGTCATATTGTTCCGGGCAATTTTTATTAAATGCATAAATTGCAGATAGTTAATGCTGACATCTAAAAGAAAAAGATTCCGTATCAATTGATCCATATTTCATCCACCCATCCCCACCCCCGCCCCACCCCCTGAAAAAGGAGGAGAAAAGATTGTATCCAAAAGAACATACGTTACTGGTCCTGCAATTATTTCTAATAAAAGGGGCTATATAATATTTTATTTAACACTCTGACATACGTGACGTTATAAATAACACCTTTTTGTATTCCGTCACTGGTCACGGTTAATGTTCTGTATATCTGTAATTATGGTTTTTTTTTGTTTCAATACTGCATCTGTTAATTCATGTTTGCTTGAGTTTAGACATTCAACTTATTCAAGATTGTATTTCCGATTGGTCATTGTTAACGACTAAAGTAATATGAATAGAAGATACTGTTAAGATTTATGGATGGTGTACAATTCTTGTGAAATGCTAAATGTCATAATGAGTGACGTAATATCATTTAGTTTCATAATTCACCAGTATAATAGTGTAGTGGTCAGGTGGCGCAGTGGATTGTGCACTTGCCTTTCACCAAGACAACCGGGGTTCGATTCTCCGATCGGACTTGATAAGGTGTGGGGTCACCAGCCAGACCACTTTGATTTTCTTCCGGTGCCCCTGTTTCCTCCCAGAATAAGTCCTCTGCGCGCTACTTGTGTTTCACAATTGTTGTAAAATCAATCAAGCTTACGTTCCATGATTATTTTTGATTTTTGTTTTCGAAATGTTCATTTTATCGAGTAAATGTTCATCGGATTTCTTCTGAAACACAACCGGATATGTGTGGATAACAATCTCCGACGCAGAAGAATTGTTGTAATACATAAACTTATATCCTTAACAGGTACGATAAATATTCATGAATAACATTTTAGCGATGACATCTCAATGATTTTGTTAAATTGTGTCATTTCTTTCCGGATATGACAAATATCATTTAAGTCAGAATATTTAATCCGCCATAATTATAATTGCTCATTTCGCTTTGGTCAATGCATGAAATGATATATGTCATATTTTTTTAAAGGATGTCGAGACGATGAAGGTCAATGTAAGAGATCAGGAACGCGACTTGTTACAGACAACGAATGTGTGAAGTTCAAGTGCGTGAATGGAGATTTCATACCGACAGAGATTGGTAAATATACACATATAATAGTATGGGTTAAGTGTAGCGAAACCTGCGTCATATTTTAATGACAGAAACACGTTAAGTGGTCTGTTGCATTAACTTTTCTGTTTGTAAGTCATTTTATCACGCAACAACTAGCCAGATGACAGTGGTCTACACAGATTATGAAATGCTACCACACAGCCTGTAACGCGTAAATTATGCACTAAATGTGTTAATGTATGGAAACTCGTCGTTGTTATCGAATCCAATAAGCATGTGCAGTACTACATGAAACAGTATGACTTTAAAATATCTATTTAAAGCGTTCTGATAAATTGAAAACTTGAAGTGATATTAGAAATGTTGACAAAATTATGGAACCAGCAAACATGTGTATGATAATATGAACGTATAAAATGACGACAAAAATTCTTAGTTAATTTTTAAAACTTCAATGCACCGTGTTATTCTATAGTTGAGGATTTTGATTATTCTGATACCTCACTGATTCTCCCATTGGAGATGTAACATTACTCCTGCCCTTGATTTACATATCAGGTGTTGTCGATGAAGTAGAAGACGCTTATCTTTCCGAACACCTAACACAACTACTTATTATTTGTACCTGTTTCATTGGTCTCAGCGAAAACAATTCCTTTGTTTATATTGTTTGCGTTGTTTGGTCGAGTTTGAGTTTAATCATGGTTTGACAGACACTCTGGTACTCCCCTGTTGTCTTTCAGATCAGAAATTATTTACATGTATTCATATTGTATCCTAATTCATAGGGTGCGAATGGGATGGAAAGTGTGCTCCTAAGGGCTCTTCGTGGCTGGAAGATTGCGTTCAATACACATGTCAAATTGAAGAACAAGGACCCACCTTTATAGAAACCACAGTAGTAGCACACCATGGTAGGTGTCTTTGCTGAATAAATGATAAACATAGCAATTCAGTGCAAAGCCTAGATCGGTAATTGAATACTAGTATGTTCACAATTTATTGATAAAATTAGACACCTTACATTGGAAAGAAATAGCCCACACACATAAAAAGATTAATATATGCATTTAGAATAATTTTGTTATTTACGTTGACATTTAAAACCTGATATTACCAACTGTTTTAATATGTTTATGATTTTATTTCATGTTTTTAAAATATTCAAATAACTGCACTATTCAAGTCCATTATTATATGAATAAAGTGTGTAAAAGCAATGCGATTATATAGGGTTTAAAGAGTATCTTATCTATTAAAATAAAGGTCCACAGAGAAATGACATCAGTATAGCAGTTAGTTTCTTTTCAGCTTAAACTTGTTGAGTTACGAAACGGCTGGATTACCAGGGCTATAGTGCTTAGAACAGTTACCGAACTTTAAAAACCAATTAAATATAGAGTCGGTGACTCGAACTAGTTTTATTATACAAATGTACTAACCTATCTTTATTTCCCTTTCAATATAGGCTGCCATGACTGTTCGGGGACGTGTTATATGCCGGGCGAAGTCGTAAACCAGGGATGCTTAAAAAGACAGTGTATGTGGGGCGGCTTCTTCCAAAATGTAGAAGTCGGTAAGTTTCGTCTCCAGATTTTTGTCGGTTACCATGTATTCTTTCTGACTGTTTTGATGTCGCATCTACTACTTTCTTTTCGTATCAATATTTAAATCTTCTGAGTTTATCTTCATGTCGACTTATGGTATATTTTAGTTTACTGTAAGTTGATATGTGTAGCGAAACTGGATTAGGTCGATCGTAGCGAAACTGGATTAGTTCGATCGCCGGCGACTAGGTACATGTAGCTCCTTTTATAGAGCATCCGTCAAGAGTTATGATGGTCCCTGGTTCGAATCTCGATCTGATCGATGCATTTCCTCTCTTTTACTATGTATAGATACAATCAAGAGAAATGTTAAATTAGTCCACATTCTCTTCTTAATATTTTCGATGATAATTTCTCAGATGGAAATAATAAACACCAGTCGATGTAAAATGTCGTATATTAGTCTTCACGTTTAATATACATGTGGACGTGTGTCAGATGCAATGGTCTGCTTTTGAACTGACTTGTACAGAGATACAATATAATGTTTATACTAAACCATTATCTTGTGACGAACGGGCATAAAGTACATCTCAATATCCCCAAAACACGAAGAGGTCAAACTGTTTAGTTTATCTTATATAAACATTACTTCTATGGAAAGTCCACAGAAACCAGTAAAATTCATTTCTCCAAAACGCAGCACAACAAGTAATTGCATAATTGAAATATCGTCTTGGTCATGAATTTTCATATCAGAACTAAATTGCAAACGTTTAAGTTTAATCTATATTTTTGAATTGATTTTCTGTCTATGTATCTATTCATGTCTGTTGTGTTCTATAATTAGTATTTCATATCTCAATATTATATGTAAAATGATTTTTTAAACGTTCGTTCATTTGCCGAATGTGTTGTTTAAAAATGTTAAATACTCAGTATCATATTATACATATACGCGCACCTTTATATCATTTGTGTTGCTTACTTATATCTGTAAGCCTATTTCACTACAGCCAATCACATGTCGTTATTTAATATGCGATAAAAAAACGCAAATGCTTCTAGTTTCTACTCCTGCTTAACGCTCAGCAAATTAGGAGTGGGACGACTGGTTCGCCCGTTGTCAGTATAATGTGACCGGGTGGGGCGTCCTGCTGGGTGTCTTCGGCAGTATGTCTCAGTGAGGTAGCACTATAAAGTCGGCATCAGTTCCGCGCTATCACAAGGAGACGAACACGAACATATCGCAGCCTCCCAAAATACACACACATACACTACACGCATGCATCTTGCACACAGGGGAAGCCGTCCTTAAATTACCTTAGCTGTTAATAGGACGTTAAACAAAATCAAACCAACAAACAAACAAATTCTATTTAATGATACTGAGATGCTCTTCGATAGGTTGCATGTCAAAAACGGGAGAGTGTGTTGCTATTGGCGAAACAGTTGACTATGGCGTACGAAAGCAGGTTTGTGGAGACGACGGATATCTAACGCCAGTTGATCCACGTGAGTACCTTAAGGAACACGTCTTTTTAATTTTAGGCATACTGATCTGACTTGCAGAAATGTTAAGGAGATACGTATCAGTAATTCGTCATCAATGGAGATTTCAGACAGACCAAGCAGGCCTAATCTATAAATGATGTGTAATTACCTTTTATTTCACATAGGAATTTAGACAGCTAGATGAACTATTAGGTTTGTTCTATGATTTTCAAATCTGTTGATAATTTTTGCTCCTTTACTGACACTTGTTCTAAAGAACTGAAAATACTTTGGGATTCATGTTCAGATAACCCTAACCCTAACCCTAACCCTAACCCTATAAAATGGTTAAATACTGATTTATAAAATGTAACTCCAGTTGCCGCTTTAAAGACTTAGACACTATGGATATTCACCTCTAGACGAAGTTAAACTAATTGTTTTGTGATATCATCTAAAGAATATGTGACGATACTGACATTCAGGTTGATTGGCTTGGAAAGATATATATATATACAATGAGCTACCTACTCCCAGTTCTCGTAGTTCATTATTTTGTTACTTATCAGTCAAGACGAACTTCAACATGTCACTAAATAAATCAAAATTAAAATTGTTCCTCCATTTCTCCATAGCTCATGCATAGTGAAAATATGATTATCATCTGAATATAATAAACCAACTGAAACGTATGATATAAATTTTGATAACCAATTAAAGTCATCACTAATAATTACCGCTTTATCATAACCTAGGTCGTAAGTTGTTTCATAGCGGTTCACAAATTAGTATCTGTTGTTATAGGGCCACAACAACCAGCCAATATTTGTCTCGCCTCCCCAGGGAGCATATAGCCGGTACAGCCATTTCGGCGCTCAAAGCTAGCATTCTACAATTCCAGTAGGCTTGAAGAAGCTGAGTAAAGTATTTTGTTCAAAGATACAACACAGTGCCGGACGTGCCTCAAATCCGAAACACTTGGGTCACAAGCCCGGCTTCCTACCACTAGACATCCATGCCATCAATGGACCGATTCAAATATATTGCTGATACGTTTGCAGCCTTTAATGTTTTAAAAACCGATTAATCAGTATTCCAATCCTCGTATGTGTCGTCTGTTTCAGCTACTGGATGTTATGATGCCAACTTTGAATTCTACCCAATTGGGGATTATATGAAACAAGGTTGTGAGACGTTTCAGTGTCAACAGCGTGGCTTCATGGCTAACTTCTACCTGATAGAAAAAGGTATGTAACGTATCAAAAACGTTTTAATTATTGCTTGGTTACATGTGAAATCATTTTATTTTTATGAAATTCCTTAAAAAAGCGATAGTTTTCGTCTTGTTATCTTATTTTTAGAATAATTGTGGTAACACCCCCGTATGTGTCAGTGTTTATATACGTGTTTGAATTGCAAATATATTTATATCAATATTACATAGTTACTTATTTTCACATTCAAAAACTATTTTATGAAATGTTAGACGATACATTTGTATGTTTTCTGAAAATCATGCGTCCTTTTGTTGAGGATTTTGATGATTTGTCATTGAAATTCACATTGTAATATAAATATATTTAATAAAAGTGTGAGTTAAAAATAGATATACATTTTTTATTTACATATTCATATGAGTACAATTTGGTAGAAAGCGTATGAATTTACGCATACATACATGCAAAATGTATGTAATACTGTACGGAGGGCGAATTATAACCTGCAGCTAAAATGTCCTGGTATACAGTAGTGCCATTAAGTTGTTTATGAATTTTGCAGGATGTCTTTACAAGGGCAAGTGTCACAATGTGGGAGATAATTGGTCAGAATATGACACGTGTCGATTCTTTTATTGTACGTCCCAACAAAGTAGCGTTGGAGTGGTGGAGTCAATTGTCAAAGAGATGGACGGTATGTTGTTTTTCTTTATTGATATACTGTATTAATATACGCCCCTGAGGAAGATGCAAATAAAGTATAGATATAACTTTCTTGGTTCCTTCTCTTAATGTGGCTACTTAAACCAATAACTTCACAAATACCGTTGACTGTGTAACCTGTATAATGAATTGGTGAATGATGCTATAATGATAAATATAAGTAAACTATATCATTAGTGCTAGCATATTTTTTTTTCATTTTCAATTTAACAATATCTCCTCTTTTAAAAACATTATATAAAAGAAAACAATCATGAATAATTACACATAGATTCAACACTATGCTTTTTTTACTGACAGGATGTTGGGACAATAGCAATGAGAAATGTAGAGAACCCGAATTGAAATGGTATGAAGGCTGTTTTGAAAAGCAATGCATCGTGACGAAAACAAAGAACAACAAAGTGATGAAAAAGATTGTGTTACTGTCTGGTGGTAAGTGAATTACAGATGTTAACATGTTAAGATACACGATGTTTATAATGTAGTTCATTTGGACTTGAAAATTATCTTTCATTTTAACCTAAAATAATGTTATGTATTTATGCTGCTCTGTACAGTGTATTTATCATGCGTATATTGTAATTTTATTATACAATAATTAAAATTTAGACATATCATCATAGTGTATAGACGTATTAATAGTATGACATGTTAAACGTTTTTAAACTATAACATACCTTCTCAAAAACTTCGATATAACGATGATATACTATCATCGTTATGTCGAAATTATGGGAAAAGTTCAATGTATGTTATAGTCCAAATGTTTTAACACACCGTGATATCAATACGACCATACTGTATTCGTACTGTAGTTATTGAATTGCTTCAGCACATATTCATTGTGATAATAATTATCTTTTATTTTGATCGTCCTATACAATATATGTATGGTATTGTTATCCTATCGTGCATGCTTACATAGCTACTCATCAATTTTCGTCTTATCATCTTATTGTTTGATATGTTGATCATTTGATTACTCTTTTTATTACCTCTCACTAATAAAAAGTTCAAGGACCACGGATACTGGGATTGAGGCAAAGTCAACAAGGGAGTCAATTTTCTCATAAAAAATATTCAAAGATTCATCACGTTATATTATTATAGCTCATCTTGTTAGCATAGTGTCTAATTGGATGCTATTGGTCATTTGACGGGGAAATTAAAACAGCATGTCGCCCTCCCGCGCTAAAGTTTCCCCTAATATATTTCCCTTAATCGGAGCCTCTCTAGAAAAATCCGCAAGTGCCACAACAACCCGGTTTCGAATGACGGAAGCAGACGACAACAATAGCGCAGCAACCTGATCATGTCTTCTATTGTGTTATTGTTTTTGACTTATTTTTGTTTTTCGGCATACTAAAATATTTGTTTTCCTTACTATAAGGAAACACGATTCTTTGTTTTTCGAGGTTAATCATGTTTCAAGAGGGCGATGAAACAATACTCGTGTTTCCCTCCATTACGGGCAATATATGTTAAGTGTATCCATACATCTGTACCATACTACAGGTACTTGTACGCGAGCTCGTCATTTACACTCTGTCTCACTGCAATGCACAAATGCCAACTATAAGATAATTGAAACCATCTCTGAAAGGGGCACATACTTTTGATGACAGACTCAATTTTCATTTTTACGAATAAAATTAATAATAATAGCGCAAAGCAGTAGATTCTTTTTTCTGTATATTTTCGGAAGCTTGTCTGATATAAAACTTTATAAAATGCTCGGTGTGTCGTCATAAAAATACTCTGACTCGTAAAAATCTCTAGCTGTGTGAACGTATGCTTCCCCGATATTGAGTTGTTGTAGTCGTGTTTGGTGATATAGTCCCTCGACGTAACAATAACGCGTACATACATCTATGGCGAAAAAAAATGTGGTAGTCATGTTAAAAAACGTCGCATTACCCCTTCTTTAGGAATTTAATACAAAAACGGCCTTGGAGTGCTCTGCCGAAAAAGGTATTGCTTGAACCGTCGAATAATAAGGAGCGTAGAAATGCTAATTTACAACTTTTGGTCTGATTCTACCTCATATTTTGTAATTACCTCGAGAAACATCAAAGTATTTTATATATTTGAAATACCGATTTTGTAGTAGCATTAACAGAGTTTCATATAAAGTTTAAACACGTGTGCACGTGCTGCAATAAAAAAATGATACGGAGATATTCCGTTAATTTGTGATTATAGAGGTATGTCGCAAAGCTCCGTGCTAGGTCTGCTTAAAAATGTATATTGTCAGTTTCCGAACACGATTTCTGATCCAATAGTATCGAAATTTCTATTGACCAGAACATTTTATTTTAAAAATTGTTATATGATTTTGCTTTTATTAGAAATATAGGCTAAAAAACAAATATGAACTCAAACTTACACTTAAGAGTATTTGCTCACTTACAGGATGTGAACAGACGATTGACGACATGAAAATTTGCCATGAACCCGGCGAGATTTGGAGCGAGATTCGGGAAGACATGTGTGTACAGATACAGTGTCAGGTCAGGAAGAACGTGTACAAATCTAAAATAATAAAACCATGTAAGTAAAACAGCTGCACTACACTCTGGAAGGGAAGATCTTTATTGCGATATAGATAGACAATCAAATTATCGTGAGAATATATATAATCTGATTTTCTCTTCCTATAACATCAATTCCAATCAATACGTGTTCTATAATGGTTTTCCCTATATCTTCCTTCCCAATATGCCAATACTTATTATCTGCAGTGAAAACCCTGAATGTACCTATAACTTTGATGTATGATTTAATCCTGGTTTCCACTGCATACCAATCCATTACCCCATCCCGTATTCCCGTATTTGTTCTGTTGTACATATTACTTCATTCCTGTAGCTAGTGTTGAAACGTTGAGTATTAAGCAGGTAAAAATAATTCCATAAGTGCCACGACACTTGTTTTTGCTTCCATTTCTATTCTAAAAAATGTCGATGTATTGTCAAACAAAAATTGAATAAAACATGTCAACAAACTCTTTATTCAGAGACCATCTATAATTAGTAGTCGCGTATTGAACTCCTAAAATACGTTCTCTGGACACAGATGCTTAATGTTTTTTATCGTGTCTTTCTTCGAAATTCAGACTGACTGTTACCAAATGAAACGAAATTTTTTGAAATAATATTACTTAACTTTTTAAAAAACAGGTTCTAACGCACATCGCCTAATTAAGAAAATTGTCTTTATAAAAGCTTACTTAATAAATAATGTATTTAATTTTCAGTATGCAGGGATATCAACGGAAACTGCCATGAAGTCGGGGATATTGGTTTTGATGCCATGGTTAATGGTAAAGTCCTTCGCGACTGTAAATGCAGACTTAAACAAAGACAACTCAACTATATCTGTAAAGGATAAATCCTAACGAAGTTCTCTCCTATAATCAACAAAGCACTGCAACATTTTGTCTCAGTATCGTACTATACACATGTAACTCTTTCAATAAATGTTATTCTGTATTTCCTTACGGCGGAGTTGAGTTTTTCTTTTATTGTTTTGGTGGGTAGTGGAGTTAAGTAGAAAAACATACCACAGACGAAATACATTAGTTAGAAACCAAGTTTGTTACTAAATAAAAACAGGAAGTTCGGAGCCATTATAACAGAAGGAAAGACATCACACATGAACGCAGAAGGATAGGACTGTCCTTTAGTTTGTGAATGTTTAGTTATTATTACATTGTAACTATATTTTCTTGCCAATGTTGAGACTGGCTACCAGTCCCTATGTTTCAATGACGAATTTCTTAACTGCATCTTACTACTAGCTTATCTCCCCCTAGTTTAGAACTTAGGATCAGACATACAAGTGATCAAATCTATTAGAGTTATTTTTTTCTAAGCAATTAAATATCAATATGATATTATAGAGACGGAACCAGTCTTGCCGATGGTATACAGTAAATCAGTGGACTGATACTTATCAATTAAAGACTTTTGCTAAGATTAATACTTCTTTTTACACAAGAATGACATACTGACCGGCCGAGACGAAGTCGGGGCTAACATCAATTTTCAGGTTCATAAAACCACCTATTCATCGCATATACAGTCTACAATTGTAACAGTAGATGTGAAGTTATGTTATATTTATCATTATGCAAGTAACACCGATTATAATGTTACATATCACCGACTTCCTCTTGATAATGACATAACCAACGAGGTTGTAAGAAAAAAGTAATACCTTTTAATATAAAATAATATGAAGCTTAATAAAGAGTAATAAAATAATGAATAGTTAAAAATGCAATTAATATATATTCAAAACAAACTAAACACTTCAATTTTAATAGCTGTAATTGTATCATCTGGTGTAGTAAATAAAGGTAGTACATTTAATGGCGTAGGAATATGTTCCTACGGTTTTGACCAATCGCAGCACTTTTTGGTTTTATTACACTCGTGTAAAACCATACTTATGCCATGGCCGTATGACATAGTTAAGTTGGTAAGTTATGTGATAAAAACTAATATCAAGATTATAAAAGAATACGACACTAAGACTAAATAGACATGGACATTTCAAGCCATGTACAGACTGTGCTATTCGATCTCTTGACGTTTTACTGTTAACTTTAATATCAACTCTGTTTGTTTTCGTCATTTACTGCATTTTTTGTGATATTCGGAATAGCCGTTTGAGCCACTGAATGATTGATTGCTTTGGGGAATGGTTGAAAACACGATTTCTACAAAATGTCAGCAAAATATGATTGTAATATTAGTATGTACATTTCAAATATCGAAAGGGTCAGTAAACAATTTACATATAACATTTCATTTTACATTGAAACAACAATTTGTCATTATCTTAGACATAACATATGTTACAACAAATATTTTATCTTACCTGCCCAAAGAGTGATAGTGATTTTACTTATGGATAAGAGGCGCTAAATTTGACACTACGAAATACCGAGTTACTTCCCGTCGACCGATCAGCGCAAGAAAACTGTCGGCATTTTAAGAAATAAATACCTTCACATATTTTTAACAATAACAAAGGCGCACTGGTATTTTCAACTTATAACCGAAAACATATTTCGTTTGGTTGTGTTTTTATAAACTAAAAATGGCTTCATATGATATATCATACAATATACTATTCGCTTAAACAAACATTAAGCATTTGATTGCGTATTACTTGACACAGAACATAGTAACTCGGAGGTAGATGATGTAGTATTTACTTTCGCCTCGCCATGTTCATTGCACCATGCATTTATAGAAAAGCGACTATACATTTAGTCATGTGTTCAGAAGTGTACTGTACATGTATTTAGAATCCTTGTACACATGTACCACTGCGCTGTGGTTTTTCATATAAACGATAACCAACCCTTAAGTTCCCTTTAGACATCACTGTAGCACTGTTTGAAAAAGGCACTTCCGGTGACCAGGTACAGCGATGGTCTAACGATCCTAAGTCAATGGTTCGAATCCCTGTCTAGCCATGCTGACTTGTTACTCTCAGAACACTGTTATTGATTATATATTGTCCGTTTTATCTTTATCATTTCTCATAAAAATCTCGCAAAATGCGGTGTTTATTTTGAGAAACGATTTATCAAAGCTATATTAGGCTGAAACAATGTTTTAAACACTTAAACTTTTTGAAGTAGTACTGGTCATCTGTTTGATCACGTTAAAAGTGATCAAGTCCCAGTATAGTCAGGAAGAAAGCTTTTTGGTGAACTTTTGTTTTGTTTCAGGAAAAAGTAGTATTCCTTTCTTCTTTAAAGTATGCAACTTGGTGGTTTTTTTTAAAATTTGATTTCACTAATATTACGATTATTTAAATGGAATTTTTGGGCTTGAAAATGATACCGGAATACTACTAATTGATGAAACACTTTCAGTGCCAACAAAGTATTATCGCAAGAGTTGTCTCCCTTCCCCTGTTCCTATATTTTTCGCCTCGCAGTTTACTGTGTCTGGGTTGCACACACTCTCTGCAGTGGGTGATAAGTCCTTTTTAAATGTACAGTTCAATACAATTTTGAAATACAAAGCGAGGAGCGACAAAGTGCCTTCCGGGGATGAGAGACCTCACCTACAGTCAGAGACTTGAGAAACTTAAACTCCCAACGTTGGCCTTCAGGAGATGTAGGGGAGATATGATAGAACTGTACAAAATTATAAACGAAATATATGATACAGAATGTTGTAATGCAATCACACTTTGGAAAGATGCCGCTGATCGTCACAGTAACAGAGGACATAGCAAAAAAGTATACCCTAAGCGTGCAACAATGATGCTTAGGAAAAACTTTTTTTCAATAAGGTCAGTGACAATATGGAACGATCTGCCTGAAAATGTTGTCTCCGCACCAAATGTAAATGTATTTAAAAACAGGCTAGATACCCACTGGAAACATCAAGAACTTTTCTTTAACTACAAAACATTAATCAAACCATAGACATTAACGTGTACCGAATAGAAATATATATATTTATGTATTGTGTAACATAAGAGTCTGGTATAGAGGACTTTCACTAGTCCTGAACCGGAAATAAACTTAACTTAACTTAACTTAAAGCAATAAAGTTTTTTACTTTTTTTTTTTATATTTCACTACACTCAATGGCCGTTCCATTAAGGACTCATCAGTGATACTTCAGCTAAAAGAATATACAATATGAAGTCATAAGTGTGCAACAAAACATTAAAAAAAATAGCGAAATCCTATTGAATTCATATCTTTATGCATTTGCGTCATATCTGACGTTTAAAGATATGCACAACGGCGCTAACTATAGAAGTACATGCTGTCGGATGTGCATTTTCTGCACTAAGAAAACAGGCGGTGTGCTGATCAATGACTGAACTTATGGATCAAACTCAAGCTTGAGAGCGAACATGTGAGTGCGAAAATATAGATTTGTGTTTGAAATCCGGAAATTGCAAATTTCTACACTTTGGAAATTTATTTTTCATACAAACGAAAATTGAACAGTGATCACACAAATAAGCATACTTACATTTGCATTGCTTAATGCCATTGCTATGCATAACAGATGCAATACGTGTTTTAAAATATTACACCAATTTCACAAGTAATCGTGGTTTTTTTAGGAACTTCGAGAATGGACATATAAAGAGTGAAAAATAAACCGTCAGTCAGCCTGTCAATGCTACACTTAGAGCAACAAGAGAAAATTATAATGATGATAAGTTAACTATACAGATTGCATTTTAAAATAAAAATGTAAGGGGTACAACATGTATCTCTGAAAGAAAGTGCAATGGTTCTTTAACATGCATTGTTGTTTACAAAAAACCAAGATAAATCATTTATCCAGCTTCGTAATGTTTGTCAACTGTAGAAATGTGTGTTATAATACCAAATCATTTGCTAACACGCACATGGTTTGTTTGTTTGGCCCCGTCTCTAGAATATTAAATCATTTGAAAAAAACAATTAACTCTTATAATTGTTATCACATGGATCCTAAGTTCAAAACTAGGGTGAGATAAACAAGTAGTAAAACGCAGCCAAGAAATTATTCATAACAACTTGGGGGCTGGTAGCCAGTCTAATGGTTTGTCATAGACAATTAAATGCTTACACGAACGTGTACGAATAAATGTGTCCGTATATTGTGTTTTGTAAAAAGACTGTCAAGCGATTGACAAACGTGTCTGCCCTGATATTTAGACTAACACTTGACAACGCAATTCAAATGACCTTTCGATTTGCTTTTTAATCCTTAACAATGGTCATCCTGTCGGAAGTAGTTTTCATATTAAAACCTTGTATACAACATATCACAAAACAGTGCATAATTATATGAACATATTCTAAGTTGTCATTCGAATGACTTTCCAGACCGTGTCAGCTTATCACAAACGCCAGTCAGCCTGCCAATACTACACTTATAGCAACAACAGATAATTATAATGATGACAAGTTAACTATATAAGTTTGAATAAAATAGATACGTGTGCTATTTAGGCCTGTCTATTTCTTAATGTTTCAGATAAGTTACAATTGTATCATGCCAGTTAAAGTAAAACATTTATAATACGAATAACTCGGTTTATGCTCAGTCGTTGCTATTTTTTTTTCTTCATATCTATTTTGGGTTCCGCGTTTGTTTATCTGTGTATTGACGCATCTAAAAGGTATTTTTATCTATATTTTATGTTACTTCATTCCTTAATACCTTGATACATACTTGCTTATAACATCATACCGTTCCTCGAAATGAGGTATATATCATATGTTTCTTTTTAATGTGGATTATACGGTGCACATCCAAGGACATGTGTATTAAAAAATCCCCTTTCTCGTGAAGGGTACTGTATCATATTCATAATTTAAATATCAATCCTTTGTATATTCTAAACAGCAAATGTTTACATTCCTTATGTTTGATCCTTATTGTATCCCTCCTATTAGAGTGATATACCCTTTTATTATAAATACTATGATATCTCTGGAAATAATGTATTT